GTGTATGGTGGGGTATGCATGTGGGACTCACCCTATGAACATGCACACACGCACCGCTCCTGGTCCCAGATTACTGGTGCGGGCTCCTGTGGTCTGAGATGCAGCCAGCAAGTGGGCAGGGAAGCAGTGAAAACAGAGGCTTCCAGTTGTGGGGAGCCAGGGCCAGGGCCGGGCCAGTCTTGGTGCTGGTCCCTGCTTGCTTCCCCTGGTTCCAACTGCCCCTGGCTCCTGTTATCTTTGACAGGCAGCCAGGACCAGATAAATATTTATTTTCTAAATTTTGTAGGGGCCCCGTGGGCCAGATATGGCCCACGGGCAGTATTTTGGCTGCCCCTGCAGTAGGTTGTTTTGTCGTTCTGGTTTGGAGAGTTCCATATTGGCCATTTCTTATCACCAGATTATTCTTGTAAATTTAAGTTCATTGTTTAGTTTGCTCTAGTATCTTTCTGTGTATCGAATTAGTATGACCAAGAAAATAATTGAAAGAGTCTGTCCATCTGCCTCCCACCTCTGCTTTTTACAAGTAAGTATTATACTTGCCCCATATGAAGTCCTCTAAGACTTCCCCACACTCCAGGAATTCTTGAAGATGATCCTTAGCATTTCAGAGTTTTCTTCAACCAGTTCTTTAAATACTCTTTAACCTGTTTTTTCTTTATTCTGACCTGCATTCCTACCCCTTAACATTAAATGTGTTAAATATCTGATTACAATTTCTTTTTTGTGAAGATTGAAGCAAATACTAGTTATACTAGTCTTTTCAGTGCCATCAGTTTGTTTACCACCACTGTTAAATATTGGACCCATGCTTTCCTTTTGTTTCCCCTCACTTCTAATGTTATTCTAGAACTTTGTTACATTTGCTAATTATAAACTTATTTTTCTGCCATAAACTTTTTTTATTATCCCTATTACTTTATTCTACTTTCTTATTCTCATTCTTAGTCATGTGTATGACCTTTTCTATGTAGGATTCTTTTTTTTTCAGGGCACTGATGAGCTGATGTAGCAGTTTGCCTCTTAGTGGGCACATCTACATGAGATGTTTACTGTGGAGCTAACTAATTAGCTCTGCAGTAAAATGTCAGCATCTACACATGTGCCCCTATTAGGACACACTAAACTAATAAAATCCCCAATAGGATAATACTGTCCAATGCAAGTACTATCCTATGGTGGCATTATTTAGTGCTCTGCGATGCATGTGTAGCTGCTGGCTGGGGCACGAGGGTACTACAGCGTGGGGCTGGTGGGCAGGCAGCCCTGTACTGTAAGCATCCTTGTGCCCCATCCAGCCCCTCCCCAGCACGTTGAGCCAGGTCGGAGCAGCCCTGGGCTTGTAGGCTGACCCTCTGGGTTCCTTGCCAGCCAGGGCTGTGCCACTTTAGCTCAACAGGCTGCAATCCCAGGCACACATGTAAATGCTGCACCTGGGAGCAGTAACTACTGGTGTGAACTGTGATGCAGTGTATTCAGCTGCATTAATTACATATGTAGACATGCCCACTGTATTGAAGATTTGTCCTCCTCATCAGTATAATTGGCTGTGGTACTTGAGCATAGTTTTCTTCAGTGACTGTCAGCTCTTACATTTCTTTTTCCTTTAGACTGTCTTATTCTTCTGTATCAGTACCCCAAGTTTGTTGATGTCTGCTGCTTGGAGGTTGATTCATCCTTTTTCACTGTTCTTGTTCCTCCTTTTTTCTTTAGAATATTGAATTCTCTTGTTTCACAATTATTTTCAACCGAATGACCTTCCTTCTTAGTACTTCAAAATAAATTGAAGTACCCCCCCCTTTGCTTGATTTAAAAAAATGAAAAGCAAGCTTTTAAAAATAAATTACCATACTTAATCATGTTCCAGGCTCACCTTATTCCAAAAAATTAGCCTTCCAAAATTGAGGTATGTGTCTTAAGCAGGGAGGCTTATTTTTCAGCCCACAATAGAATCAACATGGATGCTGTAAGGGTGCTTGTATCTGTGAGGTGGGGTCTAGTTCCCCTAAAATGAAACAGTGGGTTTTTAATTTGTGGGTTTTAAATTGTAACCCACTGTTTCAGGTTAGGGGCTTCTATCACTGTGATGGAACACATCAGCCCACCATCAGCTCTCCCCCTCCCCCTCCCCCTCCCCCTGCAGGCAGGCTCTGCTGCCCCTGTGGAGGGAAGATTCAGACCCCCCTGCAGCTCAGAGGCCACTGGCAGCTTGACACCCAGCCACAGGCAAGGCAGACAGGCTCTGTGAGGGGGGAAAAAAAGGATTGGGTTTTCCACTTTTTTCCCCCCCACCCAGCAGAGCCTGCCCACATGAGCTACTACTGCCAGGCTGTGCAGTCCCTGGGCTGTGGGGAGGTCCAGTGCTTCCCTCCGTGGCAGCACTGCCCCTTGGGGGCCCCCCGGGTGGGGTGCTAGCTGACCAGGTGCTGCCGCAGCTCACAGGCAGCACCTGTCCTGATCCAACAGGGCGCTGGGCTTCCAGCGCCCCGTGCACTGTCCCTTCTGCCTTCTCCAGCTGCCAGACATGTACACATACATGCAAGGCTTTTTTATCTGCAACGGGACAGTCAGTCCCAATCAAACAAATACATGTGAGGTGGTCTAAGTTGCCATGCTTAAATATATTTTAACATGGAAAAAAATTGTGCATGTGTACACAGTGACACCATTATGTTAAACAAACAACAGTTTCTCATCACTTTTTGTCACGTGTACATGGTCCCCCGTCACATGTGCAGCAGCCCTCTTAAGATGCTTGTACCTTTTCTTTTGCTTCCTTTCACCAGTTGCATGCAGGCAGGGTGAAGTTCATCAGAAGCAGGTCTAGAAAAGGGTGGGTGCAGTGGTGCAACTATATACCCTACTTTGATTCCTGCTCAACCTAAAGTTTAAGCCAACTGCCAGACAGCAGCGGTGACATTTCTGTTTAGGCAGAGCTGAGGGAATCAATTGACTTCATGGCTTATTGTAATCTTTCTCATTCCTGTTAATTGCTCTTCACTTCACAGGTGTTAATGACCCTCTCTCCTTTTTCTTGTGATGGTCTTGATGTTGCACTGATTCAGCTATCCTTTCTCTGGCAATTTTGCTGTCAGCTAGCTACCCGTAGTCTCCCCTCCTGTTTTACAGCCCTGCAGACTTTTTGGCTCTTTTTTTCAAATCCTAGATCTGACCAAGGAGTCCAGTCTTCAGAAGCAGCTGTAGTTTCATATTTAGGCTGAGCAGCTAAGGGTTGCTGACAGTTCAGTTGTGAAAGGGTTAACCGTAGCTTTTGCCGAAACAGGAAAGGGAGGGTGAGCAGGGAAAAACAAGTCTCTGTCCTTGCTCTTGCTCTGGACAAATCTTTTTTTCCTTTATTCTGCCTTACCAAAAGCAAAGTGCATGTCTTATTTGGGTGTGTGGTATGCACGCAAATATGGTACAGTGGAATTTGGGTTTCTACTAATCGTAACTATAGACCTGGTAGAATGTAATAGGGCATCAGATTGTCTTTGCTACTGTAAATGTTCTCTTTTGATCTTTTTATGAAATTCTATATTTGTATTCCTTTCTTTCAAGTTATATTTGGGTATTGGATTACTTGTGCATGCAGAATGAATGTGAGAGGGTGCATGGTAGTATTCATGAACAAAATGGCACTGACATACTTAGCTTGCATTTTCATGAGCGGTACAGCATGAAATGCATTTATTTGCTTATTCAACGCTGGCTGAATAATTTTTAACACTTTCTAAAGATGTCTTTCTAAAGATGCAGTAATTATTTTGAGCATTTCAGATAATTTTATGTATTTAGTGTTGTTGATCCATTTTTCAAAATGAACAGCTATTTAAAGAAAAGGCTTAAATTGTTTTCTCATTGCTAATAAATTATCATACAATATCCAAATCTGCAACTCTATTAAACAGTAAATTGAAAAACTGTATGAAATGGAATTTAATATTTTGTAAACTGTTACTGACAAAACAGACTGCACCTTTAAAATAATTTAAAGTATAATCTTAGAAAACTTTTTTATTGATTATGTAAAGCTATAATAATCACCAATAGCTTGCATTGCCAACTGCTGATATTTTTTCTTTTAATAATATGCTGCATGTAGACAAAGATGACCTGTCCCCAACTGCTGAGGTTTGGGATGTAGACCAGGGACTAATAAGTAAACTGAAGGAACAGTACAAGAAGGAACGAAAGGGGAAGAAAGGGGTAAAGAGTAAGTGCAGATTCTGAATCTTGTAATGCAACTTTTTTTTAATCCACGCGGAGGATATTTTTTTCCCCACACATTCTGTTTCTCTTTCTGCATTAAGCGTTGTTTTTCATAACGGGGGCAACCAACATTAACTTTCTCCCTACTAAGTCCAAACAGTTGAGAAAATTAAATATCATGTGCCACTTGTGAGAGGGAAATGTGAAATCTTTAGTAATAGGTATATTCAGTTAAATAGGGAAATAGACCAAACTAATATGAAGTCTGTCAAGTATTCACATAATAATCTGGAATGCTGTTTGTACTTTGAAGTATAGGAAAGAAGGGCTAAATTTGTTCACTTGTGATAAGAAAAGATTCTTTAATTGACTTTTGTTAAGCTTTGAATCCTATTTTGGTACCAATTTTAGGCCTATATTTGTGTGTGAATGCCAGAATATGGCATGAAAATGGGGGGAAAAAGCCTTTAGCTAAAATGACTGTAACACTTTCATTGCTTAGTCTATAGTATATTATTGAGACTGACCTTTTTCTATGCAATAGCCATTGTATATCTCACATTTTAAAATAAAAGCATCACTAAGGCTTCTGACAGACATGAAACCTTCCCCCCCCCCCCAAAAAA